TAACTTAAATAATCTTTTTAAACAAAATGATATATATTTAATCAATATGCGAATTACTGTTTAAATCAGCCTTCTAAAAAAAAATTGTATAAAATTCCAATTTATTTAAACAAGTGTAACTATTAATTTTTGTTTTTTTTTTTTAATTTGAATTTAATACATGTTTATTTATAATTTATAAACAAATTTTAATCAATTCTTTATTGACAGTCTTTCCAATTATTTTCTATAAAATCTTTAAATGACAGATATAAATTCAAAAATTATTCTAATGTTTTAACACAGTTAATATCGGATTGTGAGCTTATCTTTCTAAAATAATTTGAATAAATCATTTCTGCTCTCCAACATATTTATTGGGTTTTCATAGTTTATGACAAACGTTTTATGGCCTTTTCTATGAAATTCTTAGCAGCTGTTGTACTTGTATAAGCACCAGGTACTTGTCCGCATCCCTTGCCAAAGGAAACAATGCCAACAATTTTGTTATTGTAAACGGCAGGTCCACCAGAATCTCCAAAACATGAATCTTTATTAGGAGTATAAGCACAAAATGCTGTTGATGATACATTTAGGTACTTCTTGCATTCTGGTTTAGTAATTGTTTGCACACTAACATCCATTAGTTGATATGACGGAAAACCAAACTCTGTTGTACCCCAACCGGCAACTGTAATAAATATTCCTAGAGGTACACCGGATGTACCAATTGGGATAGTACCAATATTAGTACCAGAGACAGGAGACACTAATTTCATAATTGCAATATCCATATTAAAGTTAATAGGATCATATGTAGTTGGTCTAGCAATTGCTTGAACATTTCTTCGAACGCCTCCTTCAGCCATAAATGTGGAGCCAGCAAGTATTTCAAAATGCATCACAGTATATCCTGCAACAGCATGAGCGGCTGTGCACACTAAAGTGGTTGATATGAGAGCACCTGCTCCAATAAATTGTCCATCACGCAGTAATTGCACTAAATATGGATATTTGTTTATTGTTGTGAATGTTCCACCGATGATTTTTGCTTCCACCTTTTGAGACTGAGATTCTGCAGAGTGCAGATGTAGAATTCCAAATACGAATATTGGTAATAATTTCAGTAAAAACATTTTACTTTGAGTTCCAGAAAGAAGTTGTGGGCGACTATTTTAAAAAATCGTGTTTTTACGTCTTTTATAGAATTGGTTAAGGAAAATATGTTAAAAAATGTGTTAAAATTAATATTTTTGAAAATAAAACAAGTAGATTAACAGAACCAAATAATTAAATAAATAATTTGATCGTTTTTTCTATGTTTTAATAGTAAATGTTAATAACAATTTCTTTATTATAAGAAAAAAATTTGCCAATTGTGCTAATATTATTTCAAAATAAATAATAAATTTTAATAAATATCAAACACGGGAAAAAGCAGAAATTCATATATTTTTGAGGAAAGTGTTTTTTATATTATATATAGCCAAATGGCAGTATGTATAGTATTAAAGAAAATGAATATAAAAATTATATAAGTTTAAAACAATAAAACAATAATATCTATTTAAATAATTAAACAGATATTTTAAGATCAAAGTTTTTTTAAGCGTTGCTGGCAGTATACTAGATATTTGAGACTTCTATTTTTGAGGTACTTCTAAGGTACGGATGGGTATATTGTTATTATTGTTAGGGGATGCGGCGTTGCGACCATTGAGTCTATTGTGCCCCCTTCTGGGTTTAGAGTAGGTCACTTGAGTTATAACAACATGCCATTATTTATTCTTAAGTGAACTTTGGTGCATCCTAAACTTTGTTATCCAACCTATACCATTTATAGATAATATACTATATAATTATATAATTATATATAGATGATATATCAATCTACATAAATAAGTTATAAGTGATGTACTATTATTTGAAGAAAAGTGTTTGAATTAATTATGTAGTTAATCTGCAATTTAATTTTATTTGGAAAAGATAAATTTAATTAATGCTTAAACGAGTACTATTTGTCTTATTTGTAATAATTTCATATAGTTTATAATTGCACAACTACTATCAATACTACTATCAATAATATTATATATTTATCAATTAGATTTCCTAAATAAATCATATTAAGTTATGACGCCATATCTAGCAGTGGGTTCATTCAATGAATATATGCGATTTTAGTGATTAGCTCAATTAGGGAGAATGTCTAACTGACCCAACCACTGAAAAACTTTCTGAAATTTTATCACCTACGAGGAACAAAACTATTTCAATAAATGATATATATAAATATATTCTTAATAATTATAATTTAATATGAAGGTAACTTATTTTATTTTCAACAAAATTTATATATAACTGCATTAACAAAAATAGTATAGTAATAATATATTTTAAAATAGATATAAAATAATATAATATATTAATATTATATATTATTACAACATATAAAATAATGTAAAATATTGTTAATTTAAAACTTTTTTAAATATTTTATTACTTATGAATTTTTCTTAGATAAAACACTTAAGCAAGATTTTATGACAAAGTTTAAACCAATAATTAAACAAAAGTGCTTTGTTTAAATATTTGGGCAACTGCTTTTAGAAATTATAGTTTTCACAGATGTTACAAGGTCTTGGGCTATATAAAATGTGACGTAAATGTATATTGTTTACTTATTATTTGAAATAAATAATAAATAAATTTCATATTATTTCACATGAATGGTTTTAATTGCATTCTAAACTCAACACATTTTTTAAATATAACTAAAAAAAAGATGAGGTAGTAGACTCATCAGTGTGTAGTCTTTGAGTCAATTAATTTCTAACTAAAAATTTGCCAATATGTGTACTCACATCTGTGTAGTCGAAATAAGCAGTCATTTGTCAGTTCCCACTCAAATAATATATACATATTTACATATATATGTACACATATAAAAGTTACCAAAACTCTTGAACAAAAACCACACCAGCAATTAATTTTTGTGGATCCAAATATTCATATTCAAAAATTTCGCCTAATAACAAATCCATTGGTAGAGTTAATATTGCCATAAAATCCATTAATGGACTCTCTTTCGAAATGTAATTTTTAAGGGTTGCATCAAATGAATCATACATTTTCAATCAATTTCAAATTAAGAATAAGATTGAAAATATAATTAATCTTACAGTAATATCTCTCATTCCTTTTAGTCATATATTGCGTTAAAAACTTTATTAAAATAAATTTAATTAGCATCTAAAACGTAGACGCTTTTACAGTCATTTCCAACTAAAATTAATAAGAATTGTAATTTTTATGTCTTGCATGAAATGAATCATGAGTACTTATCCATACGTACATTTTAGTTACTTAATTTAAAATCAAATATAAGATTCAAAATTGTATGCATTATTTTCTTATAAATTAGAGACATAAAATTACAATCCCTGCTAATAATCTTATTAAACTTATCAAATCCAGTTCAATATCTGAAGATTAAAAATGGTTAATATAAGTTGGAATTAAATAAAAACTATAACTTAAAATCTGAATTTCAATTTCTGCTAAAACTCTTATTAAACCTAACCAATTCAGTTCCAGTTCAAAACCTATAGTGCAGGACTTCAGCCCACTTAAACCAGCTCTTAGGAATGAATTGAGAAGATTTCCACAGCAATGTGGAAACTTCTTTCCAGTACTCAGGGAAGAGAGAGATATGAGGGAGAGGGTTAATATCCAGTAAACTAGATTTATTTAAGCCAGAAAGAATAGTCGTAGTGTGGGTAGAATTGGGATAGTGGAGGGGGAGGAATTTTGGCGCAAGCATTAGAATGGTGTTAGCGGTAGACTCTGTGACCAGGATCGATGTTTGTTGCCAGATTGTTGTAAACAGAATCCATTTTCAATTTGCTTGCATAATTGTTCGTTCCTTTCATTTAGAGAATTTAATCACCCTGGTGAAGTATTTAAATTATTTGCAAAAAGCTAACCAAATATCTGATGGAATCGAAACTTTTACAGTTCTTTAAAATTTGCTAAGTATACAAAATATAATTAATTTAGTTCTGGCGTTGCCACTTGTTGTGAAGATGGGTAATTAGGAATTCACCTGGTATAGCTAGTATGATTTTGGTGCTCTGAATATGAACAGAGTTTATGATATTTTCTTCATCAGGTATTATTTTATTTTTAAAAAGCATTAGAAAATTTCTTGCTAGAGTTATTCTTATTCTTCCATATTAAATATTTCATATTTCTATTATTTCTAATATGTCCCAATTTCGAGCATTGTCAGAATAGTTAACTGAATAAGAGTCCTCATTATATCCACAACAAAACAACTTGTAAACTAATAATTAATGAATTAAAATGTAAATAATCCATTAATAAAATGTAAATAAAAATGAGTTCTCTAATAAATACAATAAAAAGTGAAAAAATTGAAGAAAGATTCAGTTGGTAGCCTGAGAGGTAACCTCTACGGAACTCATCGAAGAACTAATTTATACATAAGTATGTATATTCAATATTAATGAATAAACTTTTTGTTTAATTACTAAAATAATATGAAAGTCTCAGTCAAAGTAAATTTCTGGCTATACAACTGATATTAAAATTAATTTAACTTATAGTATTTGATGAATTATATCGAAAAGTATTTATTTAAAACTTTTTCTAAATTTTTTTTCGCGGGAAGTAGCTGGTCAATAACGCGGTTGTTGTCAACTACAACTACATAATACAATTTCTAATTTTAAATTAAGAAAATAATTTTATTAATAATACATTTTTCAATTTATTATTAACGTCCGTTTTGAAGAAAGAAACTAAATTACTAATTAATATAAACTATTACTTACAATAGAGAAATTTTTATCGAACAGTAGTGAATTGTAACAACAAAATTTTCTTATTATTTTTAATTAGTTGAATTTAAATTCAACTATAAATAAATAAATTTATTTATTTAAAAAAATATTATGAGAAATATTTAAAATGTTAAATATGCTTCTTTTTTATTTCAGTTGAAGTTGAAAGACAGGAAATTTCCTCAACTTCCACTACGCCATCCAGCGTTGGCATGGCTGCACTTGGTAATGGTGCAGCGGCTTCAGCTGCTGCGAAACAAAGTTTACAAGCTTTTGAGATGAAATGCATTTGGACACTACCTTTCGCATTTATTCTTCTGCTAAGAGTCCGGCAACACTAAAAACAAACTTGTCAGGCAGTCGTGGGTTGCGTTACCATGCCCAAATTTGCCCACCGAGCAAACTAGATAAACGAAAAGGTAAAATAATGTATTATTTCCCAGCTGCAACTGAATTCAGTTAAACCCAACCAAAGTGTACCGAGGTGTACTACAAGAAAATCTATATACCTGTTTATGTATATATCTAAATATATGAATAAGTATATTAGTATATATACATATTTATGTATATTTGCGTAAACACAAAATATACAAAGAGACACTAAAAAAGAACTATTTATATATAAATCAGAAAGTAAAGAGTATAAATATAGAAAAAAGCATGTATAAAAATTGTAAAGGATAGAGAGTAAGTGAATAAAATTGACTGTAAGATAAAAAGAAAAAAAAACTATGTAATTAATTATCACATAAAATGAAATGGGATAAATTTAATGCTTTAGGAAAATTTTAGTACGAATGGTAAAATTATTAATGGGCAAGAATATCGCAAGGATATCGCAACGATAACGCAACGATATCGCAAGGATATCGCAAGGAGCTTAAGACGCGATAAAAATGATGGGAAAAGTTTGCTGCTCTGCTTTTCGAGTGAACATAAAACAATAATTTTTTATTAACTACAAATAAGTAAACTGAGCGGAAATTTGTGTTGCTTATATTTGTAAATATGTACAAGTAATTGTATAATAGGGACGCAGAAGGAGTAGAACTGCATGAAAAGTATTTAAACACAAAATGGCGGATTAATAACAAGAGGAAAGTACTTAGCAATTATGATTTTATTAATTAATGGGAAAATAGTTTGGACATTTTTGTTATTTTGAAAATTGCAATTTATTGCAAATCATTGAATTTAAATAATAAAGAAATGCATAAGATATAAAATTTTGCAGAGGAAATAAAAATATTAAACATTTTTCAACCTCAACAGAACATTATGCATACAAAATAATTGATTTGTATTTATGTAAACAAATAAATTGCAATACTTAATAATAATTTTACAAAAATATATGTGCAAATTTTTGTCTACAAAATTGAAATCTCCTAAAAGTGATTTAGAGAAAATTTTAAAGGACATTGGCAACAAAACTTTATTTTGTGGAAAGATAATTGTTTGTTTTCAAGATGTATTCAGTTTTGGTTAATTTGCATATCATAATAGAGAAATATTGATACAACAATAAACTCAATTATTTGGAAATTTTGAATATCAAATTGATATATAAATTGATTTCTCAACAAAATTTAAAAGAAATTTATTCAATATAATGTATGGAATTTCAATATTATTTATAAGTAAAATATTTTGGAATTGCAAAATACATTGTGACCGAAAAGTTTTCGGGAAATTTTAAATAAAACGCAAAATTCTTAACCTTCATCAATATTTATTTTATCTCCTTCAAAATATCAGCTCATTAGAAGCGATAACACAAATGCCAACGTTCTTCCAATCATCAAAACATTTTTATAGGCGCTTTCCGGTATGGCTTTGAGTTCCCTCTGCGAATTCTGTTTTACGTCTTCTATGGATTCAAAACGCGTTCCTCTGAGTGGTAATTTGAGGTTGGGAAACAGGAAAAAGTCACACGGTGCAAGATCAGGTGAATACGGTGGCTGTTCGATGGTATTTATTGAATGTTTGGCCTTAAAATCGTTGATAATGTTGAACAAATTGAGGTGAATCGGAACAAGCCGGGCGTTGACACGTCGCATACACAAATTGTCCACCAAAATCAAACGAGCCATCTCACGACCGATGCCTAGCTCTCGTGCTATCTCTCTAACACTCACATGAGGATTTTTGAACACGATTTCCTTTGCCTTTTCAATGTTTTCGTCGGTGGTAGAGGTCGAAGGTCGTCCAGAACGCGGCATGTCTTCGACGGTCGTACGACAGTCCTGAAAGGCTTTGTACCACTCATAAACTTGAGTTTTCGATAAAACTGATTCCCCATAAGCCTTTTGTAGCATTCGCAACGATTCTGCACACGAAATTTCGTTCGAAAAACAAAATTTGATGCAAACTCTTTGTTCAATATTTTTTTCCATTGTTTTTTTCGCAACGCACTACTGAGGTGAACTGGTTTCAACAGCTGCCGTAAACGAACTGTCCGACAGATCGCGCTCATTTTGGCATAGTAATTAAGTACAGTGCTGCCAAACTACATAAACTTAAAATATCGAAAAATATACAGCGCGCGAATTTTAAATGAGAATTTCCGAAAACCTTTCGGTCACAATGTATGTTATATCAGTAACATGCAATATTTAGCAAATGATAAAATAAATAAATCAGGCAACTACAAATTTGAACTTTAGAATCAAAGTCATAATGAAACACAGATATTTGAATATAATTTTTGAACTGTTTAAAGCGGAAAATTTTTGCCTCACATTTTTATATTTTTATATTTAATTTTTATTTATTAAATATTTCCAAAAGACCTTCGAAAAAAATTTTAATATAAACAATTTTTTCTTAATGCCACTTTCCTTAAACGCATTAAATTTTGTTTTAAGTACTTTTCACTTGTAAATGCTACACTTTATGAAATGACGTTTTTAACTTATATATATAAATATAAAAAAAAAACAAAAATCCTCTAAAAAAAATTATGTATATCATCTATATGTAATTAAGTCTTTGTAAAAAAAACTAATTAATTATTCCTAGCAGTGTTAAACTAAATCCCAAAACTAATTGTTGTAATTTGAAACAATATTAGCAAAAGTATAGTTGTATATGTACAAATAAATAAATAATAAAATAAACAAAATAAAAACCAAGAAGCTTATAATTACAATCAGTGTTTAGAATAAAATTCTATTTGAAATTAATTTGTATCTAGTACATTTGAAACAAAAAGTTTAAAAAATGTTGATTAAAACTATTTTAACCATCTGCCGCCATGAGCTGGCGAAATAAAAATGTTATAAATCTATTATGATAAAATATTGTAAATCGTCTAATAAAATCTAACAAATTCAAAAATAAAATATTTATAACAAAAATTAATTATTTGAAATATCTGCATTTAATATTTTATACATATGTATCATTTTCTAAAAATTTTCTTAGTTAAAGCCATCAAAATTTATATAATTTATGTCAGTAAATAATTTTCAGTCTAATTCAAATGCTATAATTAATAATAAACATTAAAAAATCACAGAAGTAATAAAATAAAAATAATATAATAAATAAAAAAATTTATTTCATTATTTTATTAAAACTTATTTTATTAGAGAGTTTCGATCTCAATATTTATGTATTTAAATTTTGTCGGGCTTTATTTAGGCAGACTTTTTAAAAATTATATTTTTGTATAAATAATTATATTATATAAAAAAAAATTTTAAATTAAAAAGTATCACAGTTGTTAACTAAATATAACAGATATTTCGGTCTACGAAGTTAACATCTCTGAAATTTTTTATTTAATCTTAAGTTTGTTTTTATATAATATAAGTTATTATATAAAAATATAAAAACACGACTTGAAGCTCCGCAAAAATTTAAAAACTTGATTTATTTAATTTTATTTTTGGATATTCATATGAAAAATATATTTTCCATATACGGTCTTAGTAAATTGAGTGATTATCAATAAAAAAACATTAATTAATTTAACAAAAAAAAAATTTAAAAGGTATTTCATTTAATTTTATTAATTTCACTATATTATATATTATTATACTCACATCATAAAAGTTCCAAACATATTGTAAATTAGCATCTAATTATATATAATTATAATTTTATAGTTATAATTTTTTTTTCGTGAATTTATATTTTTTGTTTATTTTTATATTTTGGAACTTATTTCCAAAATAATATTACAATTTATTTCATATTTTTCAACATTAAAATGAAGAGTTTAAAAATTATTCATGAATATGAAGAGACCATTTTAAAAAGACATTTACTGTTCATTAAATATCGTTTTCCCTTGAAATAAGTATAAAATATAAAATAAAATTAGTTTTATGTATATAAATTTTAATAATATTTCGAATTGCTATATCTCTAATATTATTCATTAATTATTTCTTATTTTACTTGTTCGTTATTTTCATTTTGATATTGTTATATATTTTATTTTTTCAGTCATTATTTTTATTATTTTCCTTTATTACTATTACATAAATTTATTACATTTTTGCGTTATATGTAATCTTTTGTAAACATATAACAAAACTACTTTAAAACAGAGATACAAAATAACAACCCTGTTGGCTCGTTTAACTTAACTTCACTAAAAGCTTTTAAACACGTCACAATTCAGATTTGCTAAAACTATGAACTTTTCTACTTTGAATAATTTTAAAAATACGTTCAAAAATTATCTGACAATTGTCAAAAAATTTATTGTTATTATATCTACCTATATATTAATTAAGTTTAATAATTTCAATTTATATATTTTTAAAATTTATATTTATGGTGTATGTTTTTTTAAGTGTATTTTTAATATATATAAAATTTGATATAAAAAAAAACTTCAAAACATCAAGGCTATGTTTATTTGTCATTCATTCGTTTGTATGACAGTGTTGCCAACCGAAGTGGTACTTATTATGTTTTGTCTCTTTCCAACTTACTTACAAAATACGAACCCTTTTTATGTTAAAAAATTTCGAAACTCCAATCATTTGTGTCCAACTTCCATATCTTTAATAATTATATATTATAATTATTTTTTAATTTAATAAATATCTTTGCAGTTCACAAAAATATATTTTTGTTATACATACATTAAAAATAAAACCTTAATAAAATAAATGATGGTCAAATTAATATATTTTATAAAAAAGTAAAACTATGTATGTTTGTGTAAAAGTGTATAGTAGTTAGGTAATAATAATAATATTTATATATATATATAAATAATATATGAGTTCCATGAAATAAACATAAGAGAATGTAAAAATTTTGAAAAAGTAAGAATAGTATTGAAAAAGAAATCATGTTTAAATATAGTGCGAATTGA